GCAGTTGTCTTCAATTTGAGAAAGTCTTTTAGTAATTTCTTCAAATTGTTGCTCGTGTTGCAGGAGCGTAGAACGTATGGATTTCATTTCAATAAGGATGGCTGCCTGCCCGGACTGAATATCGTTAAGGACAGACATAACGTAGTTAGGGGTTTCAGTATTAGAGGACCGAGTTGCAGGGCCAGGGTTTGTCTCGATGTCGCCACATAATAGCAACAGCACTCGCAAGGCACGAATACAGCTAGAAACAACCTCCTAAGCAACAGTTTGGGCTCGGCAGCACTAGCAATGCAGCGTATTTGGTACGCTTGGAAAATAGGGAACAAGAATTTCGTACCTGCACAAAAAGCAGGCGTTGCATGTGAGTGCGGGCCATCGCTAGTGTGCTGCCGAGCCCACTGAAGAGCGCGCGGCCTTTGGTGAAGCTTTTATCGTAGCGGTGTGACGTCAGTTCTGTTTCCGTGTCTCGTGCCCATGAGGGTAAGGGCGGCAGCAGTGACGGAGGCACAGGCGGGAACATTGAAGGGCATTCGTGCGGTGCGGGCTGGCAGGGTATCCACGGCACAATGCAGACGGTGAATCCCGGCTGATGGGTTCAAAGCGTGCAGCGGTAGCATAGCCTGGGAGGCCGGGCTCTGATGTGCAGCGTGCTGCAGGCGACCGGGGAAGGATTGAAGACAGGGCCACGCCGAATATCTGCACAAAAAGCAGGCGTTGCATGTGAGTGCGGGCCATCGCTGGGGTGCTGCCGAGCCGACAAGAAAGAAAGAAAAATATATCTACCACTTACCGCTGTTCGCGGGATTCTCGGAGGAGGGGGGGAACTGTCGTGTTTTCAGCATCACCAGCAAGACGGCGCAATGAACGCGTGGCAGCTCTCATCTCTCACGCGTACTTTGGCCCGCGGAGAAGAGGAGAGTAGACGATCTCTCGCACGCTAATATCTCCTGGTGAGAAGGATCACTCGTCTTGGCAGGCTGATGGGTTTGCACTGGAACAATTTTGTTGTTCAACGCCGCACACGCCGCACACGAGGCATCGGAGTATGGTTACACCACCCCACAAGGGAAACGGTTATGGCAGAGCATACAAGATGAACAGCTTACTCTGATAACAGACCCGCATGCACCCACACGCATAGGTACGAGCACCCAGCGAGACACAACAGCGGATCTTACAATAACCAAAAATGCCCCGGGGACGACAGGGCACAACACATTCGATGATTTAGGAAGTCATCATCGCATACTCGAAACACACGTACCATTCATCGATAGCGGCAGGATTACGACCATGTGTAACACGAGATGTCTAGATGACTGGGATAAATTTTGGGTGATCAGAAAAACGATTACCGAAAATCCTGACGATATTCAGCAATGGTGCGAGAGCATAATAGACACCGTCAGGAAACCACAGAGGAAGCAGAAACAGATATCCCAGTTGAGCGCATCGATAACACATTAATCCACCTGTGGCAAACTAAAGAAGCGTTACAACACAAATGGCGGAGGCAAAGACACAACAGAACAATGCGGAAAAAGATAGCACAGCTCAACAAAGATATTGAAAGTCACTGCAAGCAGCTTTGTGAGCAACAATGGGCGGAGATATGTAAGGACATGAGCACCCGTATTGGAATATCACAAACGTGGAAGTTGCTAAGGTTTATTTTAAATCTCACCAATACCAAAACTTAACAGAGACACGCTATCCGTCGTCTCACACGCGAATACGAAGGAAACGAGGAACAGCTAATGAGAGATCTACAAAACATCTACATGCCCAAATTCGCCGCCATCACAACATAATTATACAGCCAAAGCCAACCACAACATGGACAAAAACTTTGAGGTAGCAGAGGTTAGAGCTGGGCTCCGCAAATAAATGTAAAATCAGCACCTGGAACCCGATGGAGTCACCAACCGAGCATTACGTAACCTGGACAATGAATCCATAGAACTTTTAACTGGATATATAAACAAATGTTGGACAGATGAGGCAATACCCGACGCATGCAGAGAGGCTAGAACAATCCTTATACCAATACCTGGAAAGCCAATCAACAAAGTAAATCTCCACCCCATCTCGTTAACATCATGCGTAGCAAAAGTAATGGAACATGCATTTCTAAATAGAGCCAACAACTACCTTGAGGATGGTGAATACTACCCACACACGATGATAAGCTTCCGTCGTCACCTAGCCACCCAACATGCCATGCTACAAATGAAACACCAAATCATAGACTACCCCACAAGATCCACACGAGCCATACTCGGTCTGGATCTCAAGAAAGCATGTGGACAATGCAGCTCATCAAACAATTCTCAGCCGCATATCAAGCTTAAACATGGGTGAGTAAGCCTATAATTACATTAGAAACTTCTTGACCAACAGGAAAACAAGGCTCAGCTTAGGAGGCCTTACATCTGATCTCCAAGAATTGGGCTGCATAGGCACTCCGCAGGGCTCCGTAATATCGCCAATGCTATTTAAAATAATTATGATTGGACTACCGAAAGATGTTAAATAAAATTCCGGCAATATATCACTCTATCTACGCGGATGACATCGCAATATGGGTCAGTAATGGCAGCGATGGCTACATAGAACAGAGACTCCAAGAAGCAATAGAAACAGTTGAGCTGATACTTGGAAGGCACAGGACTCACATGCTCGCTGAAAAATCAGAACTTGTTCTCTACAGGCCAGCAATCAGAGGCAGACCACCCAAGTCAGAGGAAAACAAGCAGGCAATATGAGGAAATTAGGATTCATACATAGGAGGACACAGCTATACCGACAGTTCCAAAAATACGGGTACTGGGATTAGTCATCGAGGCTAACGGTGCCAACGGCGAGACTATACGCCGACTAAACGCCAAAGTCACGAATGCAATGAGACTTATTCACAAGGTCACGATATACACCGAGGTATGAAAGAAGCCACGTAATTTGTCTAATCCAGACCTTCCTCATAAGTCACATAAGCTATGTAGCAGCATACCACAACTGGCAAAAAGCTGAAACTAACAAAATAAATGCACTCCACCGGAAGGTCTACAAGCAAGCGATAGGAATACCTGAGTATGATAGCACAGACCTTTTTCTTCAGCTAGGACTACACAATACGCTTGAAGAGATTATAGAAGCTCAGCGGATATCCCAGCTTCAAAGGCTCACTAAAACAAAAAAGGGAAGAAATATAATGAGTTGATTAGGAATCTTGTACCATGCACAACGTGGTGTGCAAACATGACATCCCCAATACAATCAGAGCTAAGATCGTCTCTAACCCGATACCGGAAAACATGAACCCGATTATCAATACGGACCGCAGAAAACACCGAGCAAAAGCACTGCTCAAAGCACACGGCACGAACAGTAAATCTCTTTTTGTAGATACTAGCCCATACCCTGCACGGAAAGCTCACACTGCTGTCGTGATTGACACGTCCGGCATTTGTGTTAATGCGTGCTCTGTCATAACAAACAATATAAAGGAGGCTGAGGAGGTAGTCATAGCCATGGCTATCACCTCCAACAAACACTCATTCGTACTGAGTGATTCGCAAATAGCAATCAGAAATTTTACGCAAGGACGGATTTCACTGCAAGCCCTCAGAATCCTCTCTAATAACCAAGAACTACGCAAAGTAGATGAACTCAAGTACCTCGTATGGTTCCCGGCGAACACAGAGACTGATACACCCAATCCTAACGAGATGGCTCATGAGTTGTCGCGAGAATTAATCCGCCACGCAACCCGACCCCACCGCTCGGTGATCTTCTCTGACGCCGCCAACAAACCACACAAAGACCGATTTACAAGATACACAAAATACATGCAACACTACAGAGAAGCAAGGCGCGTCTTGCCCGCACCTCATCCGAGTCTAAACAGGCAAGAAGCATCGGAATACCGACAGCTACAGATGAACTGCTACCCGAACCCTGTGCATCTCCACAGGAGCTACCCACACTTATACCCGGACAATAAATGTAAGCTATGCGTAACAGAAAATGCGTCTTACAAACATATATTATGGGAATGCCCCAACTTATCAACAAGTTCTCCTGAGGTCCTCCGGGAGCAGTGGCGGCTTGTGCTGCTCAGCTCAGAGGTTCAAGACAAAAAATGGGCTATCCAGCAGGCCAGGGAGGCTGTACAGAGACAAGGTCTCCCGGTACCTCCTTGTGCGGTCTAGCCCGGACCACAAATATGCCGGATATGAAAATAAAGTGTATTCGTCATCACTGGCTGACGATGACAAAGAATATTCCTAAGGGGGGACGCGCCACAGTAAATAAGTGATCAACAACAAGCTTTCGCAATGGGCATTGCATGACCCATTCATTGCGCAACTCATGTTGCGTGATGCCTGGTTGTGCTATTACTGTTCTAAAACGCTTTATGATGCATACTATTGCAATTCCTTTCCCGATATCAAACCTTCCCAAGGCAACGTGCTTTCAAGCCCTGGCGTAGTTCTGCGGAAGATTGCTGAGTTGGCACACGAGGAATCCGGGTTCCAAGCCCGCAATTTTCTTGTTCTTTTTTTCATAAATCACATTGATATAGCGCATCACGACAAAAACACAAAAGAGAGAAAGACACAGTGCCAACTTGGAACAATTTTCAACTTGCGTCGTGAGGCTCTATACACATATGAATAATCAACCCCAACCAACTAGCCCGGCAACGTGCCTTGGTGTTTTTGATTTTAAGTTTTTTTTTTCTTATTTCGTGCGATAGTGGTTATCAACATCGGTGGCGGCGTAAAACTACGTCGCAGCATGTGACCCTTGTTGTGATTTTATAACAGCTTTTGCTGTAAAAAATAATACCCGAATGCAAGACGAGATTCATTGACGCATGTCACAGGTCATTCGCTGATGCTGTCCACGCACCATGAATTTCTCACGACTGCTACTTATTTCTGCAGCTATGTAGTACCGGAAAGCATTCGTTTAATATTTCATTTATTTTCGTTCAGTTTCTCTCAACAGATGAGCCCTTATGGACCTTTTATACAACTGGGCCCACCAGACGAACATGTGAGGTAGACCTGATAAAAGACTTGACAAAGTATCTGTATACTTTACCCGGATCTTTTTTGATGGAACTGCAAGGTAACATCCCGAAAACGCGTACTTAAAACTTCATGACTTCTATTGAGAGTGTGTTTTCTTTGTAGGAGTTCAAAGAAAGAATTGGGAACCTTCGATTCACGTCGAAAAAAACACATGGACATTTATATTCCAGGCATGGCTGCATTATGACTCCTTTGTTCGTTTCGTGTAATTTATACCGCATTTTCTAACAAGGATTATTGATAAAATGCACGAAATTGGTGTTCTTAAGCAACTCGAGCTGCGTAGTTGACACTTCTCTACTATTCAAGAGTTATAAGTTATGGCGAAGTGGCTGCCATGCAGGAGTGCGTCTACTAGTTCCCAGAAAGTGTTTCAAAACAAAATTGAGAGATCCTAACCTTCGCGTGCAAGAGATGAATGTGATAGCGATATCCTGTTTCTAGTGCGTACCGAGTTCAAAATGGCTTCTGTCCGTGAAGTTTTTGGGTGCAGCTGCATTTTTGTAATTGGTAGCATACTTTAAACCATGGGCAATAGTGCGTGCTAAAATTTTTCGAGTTTGCTGCGCACCCACTAAGGAGTCTTAAGGGAAAACGCGCCGTAACGGGTGTGCTTTTTGTAGTGTGTGACTCGACTTATACCATGAAGTCATTATTTGAGGCCGGATATATAGGCACTGAAAAACCGGGTTTTCAAAGCCAAAATTAGGCACACAAAACCTTGTTTCAAGCCCCCAAATTCGTAAAAATAGATATAATAAACATTGAAATAATTCACATTTTCGAAAAAAATACGTGTGGGATCTGTCTCTACATCAAAAAAGCAAACAAAATTTTTTCAAGTTTTGATTTTACAAAGGCGCCAATGGTTTACATAGCCATGGAATATTCCTTACCGCAGTGTTTGCAGAATTCTGTGTGTCTTTTTTGTACATCAAGGTGAGGTAAGTAAGTCTCCACCGTCACATAAACACGCTCTTTGGTTTTTTGCTTTTCGGCATGACTGAGAAGAGCAACAGAGAAGCGAATAGGTAGAGCGCTGATAGGCCAGAAGGGTCTCTTTGTGTCGTATTGCCTTGTAATAACTCTGTTAAATCACGCAAGATCAATTTCTTTACGACTGTGAATACCTTAAATGGCCTTTCATCATGTTTAAAAACTTCGAGCAGGTAAAAGAAATGCATGCACTTGGCTCTCACGATCTCATCTTCCAATCTTTGCCTTGCTACACGTCCCAGAAAGAGTTAAAATGTCAGACAGTACGCCACTCGACTGTCATTTAACCGCCGATGGTCCATGCATGGTAAAAGTGACGTAAAAGGGAATGCTCCTCCGTATCAAAGTCGTACGTGACACTGCAAGAATTATTTTAGGCGCTCTGTGTCATCTATACAAGTTTCTTCTACTTTGAATCGAGTGAGATGCAAGACTAAGCTGCCAAAATTTTGTTTGCCTTTTGGCTCTCGCTGCTTTTGCATGTTTTCAGTGCCAGCATTTACAACGGTTGGCCTGTTCTTGGTGCATCATCCCATAGATCAGTTCCAGCATGAAGGCGATGGTTTGTTGGTAAGGATACATAATTCATGCCAGTTTCTCCAAACTTGCACAAATAGAGGAATCCATTCTACAGAAACAGGTAGTATAATACAGAAACTGTGGAAATGACACAACACTGCTCGTGTGCACGACCTGTCAGAGGCATGTCGTTTGAACGTCACCTTGCGTGCGCATGACGTGTATGTGGGTCCGCGTATTGTGATCTTTCGGCTCCGAGTAGCTCGGTTACCGAAGAGGGCAGGTAAGAAATTCGGCTTGTGAAGTCTACACCGGGCGACTAGCAGAGGATTCAAGGTGACCTCATCGCATCATGGTTTTACGGCTTGTAATGAGCCAATTTAATTTTTTAGTGGTACAAAGCTTTTCATTAGGCACGCAACAACTTCCCGTGTTTACGTAAAATATTTTATGTCCTAGTTAGGTGTAATTTAACGCGTAAATGACTTAGAAAAAAAAACCACATGGACATGTTTCAAATGATCTACACCCTACTTTCCCCTGATGACACTCCGCAGTTTAGCATTCATTTTAATCGTCCTGTGGCTGCACAGAAGCACCTCCTGCTTCCTACGCGTGTGAGCAGAAGCGTGGATATGCCGAGCAGATAACTCACCATGGATGAATACGTGCGTAGAGGCTAATCGGCCTTCCTCTTAGGGAAGATGCCTTGCAAGCTTGACAGTTCTGAAATGAACTTATGAGATAGAGAATGCGTTGCACCCCAATGTGTCCTGAGTGCTGAATATTGCTTGTTAACATGAATACTAGCATCCCACTGCACCCGAAAGCACTATTTGAGGTTAAATAGCGTTCATGTAGGTACCGATTTTTAACATAGGCTATTATAAGCATTTTCAGCAATTGAGACACACGAGTCACAAGGAGGCATTTTTAGGCATTGTAAAACACTATAAAAGCTCTGGTGGACCTTCAATTTATACTCATATATCGAAGTGGCACGATAGCAGCGCAAGACACACAATTGGAAATTGCCTATAATCGGTTCTCAAGTCTACGTGGTTTGAAGTTTTGACGCCCGATCACAATTTACGCTTGTACCATGCATTATTGTGGCCATAATACATGTTGCATGTATACAGGACATTTGTGTTCGTAAAGCATGCAAGTTCCTTTCACTTCTTTTTGAAGAATTTTCACCGCAATCAAACGCAGACGAGTGCTTCATTGGAAGAACACCCGCTTTCTACACAAACAAACTGGGTGCGAACCTCATGCAGACCAAGATTTTTTCTTCTGTATTTTAATTGGATCTTTCTGGATTTTTTGGTCACGCACAAGATGATCTTATTTTGCTTTCACTAAACGATACTAGCGTACTTTCATATTTTCACGACAACATACTTTCATGTACTTTCCCTAACAATTCTTCAGTTGTTGCTCGCACTGGTTGACCTTGAGACTGACTTCCTAATATGAATTTAGCCCCGCACGATGGTGGTCTAGTGGCTAAGGTACTCGGCTTCTGACCCGCAGGTCGCGAGTTCGAATCCCGGCTGCGGTGGCTGCATTTCCGATGGAGGCGGAAATGTTGTAGGCCCGTGAGCTCAGATTTGGGTGCACGTTGAAGAACCCCAGGTGGTCGAAATTTCTGAGCCCTCCACTATGGCGTCTCTCATAATCATATGGTGGTCTTGGGACGTTAAACCCCACATATCAATAATATGAATTTATTACTATCATGTTTGGCTATTGTGACCAGTGCCATGCGTTCACAAGCTGTTTTATGATTCTGACGTCAATATTGCTAGCTATAGAGCTGTATCATCAATGCATGTGTGCTTCGAAGTATCAACAACCGTGATTGATGAGAGTGTGTGTGTTTTCGGAAGCTTTTTCACCTGTTCCAACTCACGAATGATGTGTGACCACTTCCACGAATCAAGGATGCATTGTTACGGTGTCGACATCCAAAATAAATTTCGTCAACAGACCTGAAGTCTTGGTATTGGGAAAACAAACTGGTGTGACGGATGAATGGGACGTCAAAGCTTTGCTGCAAAGGTGAAAAACGAATGCTATAGCAACAAAATAGAATGTCGTGCGAACGTACCCACGTTTCTCACGCATAAATGACGCACAGAACGTACCAACAGGTACAGATGAACGCGAAGAAGTGTCTACGTTGTTACTTCGTGTGTCTGTAGATTGCGCCCGTTTCGCAAACATGGACTGCGGCGAGTGCATTGGCCCTTGTGCGCCCGGTTACTACAACAGAATAGTTCCGGTGAAAGTGCAAGTCATACTATTGTCCCCACCACGAGAAAAGGGGTGGTGCGTGCACACGCGTGATCCTCCACCCCTCCCCCTTCTTCTAAGTGGGGCAAAGTACGCGTGAGAGATAAACCAATACGAGTGTCGCCACGCCATCACGATCTGTTGACGCGCGCTATTGCGCCATCTCACTAGTAATGTTAAAAACACGATAGTTTCCCGAAATAGTCATTATCAGCGTTAGGTGGTATGTATGAACGAATACCTTGCCGTTTCAACGCTGAAGAAGGACTTCTTCGCGGTTCATTGGCTAACGCAACGCACTCATAAGCAAGAGGTTGGACGTTCGATTGCTCGTGACGGACTTTTTCTTGTATCATTTTCTCTCTTGCGTTTTCACCTTCACAAACGAAGACTGCAGCGAGTGCAGTGGCCTGTGTGCGCCCGGTAACTACAACAGAACGTATTGTATACGTATACGTATACAATAAGTGGTGGAGGTTACGAACATCGACGCCGACGCCAACAGCATAATTCAGCAGATATTTTCTATATACTTATGTAATGTACAGAGTAACTTTGTGTAGCGTAAATGCGCGTTCGTGTGAACTTTAGTGAAATTTGGAAAAATTGTGTGGGCGTCTGAGTAAAAGAAGGATGGGGACAAGAAGCCGAACTAGCGCCAGGTGGCAACAGGTGGCACATGTGGCGGAGGCACAAGAGAAAAAATAGAGAAAGAAGAGAGTGCGTGGGAAACGCTCAGCAAGACATATGACAATTTTCCAAAAAAATGCTAAGTTACATCCAAATCATGTTCTTCAGGGCCTCCTTCAAGACCATCTCAGTCATTTTTCCTTCTTACGTGGAAATTTCGACGGATGCAACGCAAAATCATTTGAAGGTTTGAGTAGGCATCGTTTCTCGTTAGCTTAATTGGGCTTTTGCGCTCTGATTGTCTGACTTCACGCCAATTTGTCTCGCAGAATTCCTGGCAATAACATCGACTCTTTGAAAACTAAGGTCTCAGCAACTAAAAGCTCTTATTATTTCGGATGCCTTGTATGTTTTTACACATTTTATTTCTGCAAATCAGCCTCATTTCAGGATATTTTGGTCTTTCGTACTACGTAGCCTATCAGAAGCTAGGTTTCTTTGGGTCCCCGGGCATCTTGGAATAGCGCTCAATGAACTGCTGACTCGCTCTCTTCGGCGCTTTTGAATTTCCCGGTGGTTCCAGTAGCTCCACAGCTTTATTTTGTTACAGCCAAACGATTCATACGCCTAATAATCTTAAAAAAGAACGAAACATTGCTCCTACGGTCTGATGAATTTCGGCTCTTGCGATTCACATAGAGCACCGCAAAATGCCTTTCCCGTCAGTGTGAGGTGACCCTCAGAAGCTTTCGCTGTATAGTTCCTCGGTTGAAGTTATTATTGCACAAATCATTATTTTCATTACCTACCTATGTGCAGTTTGCAATGAACCTTTCTTCTCACATGCCGCAGTTTCATATCACTGCGCCGACAATTCTTGAAAGACCGATTGGTATGCTGGGGTTGGCAGTTTATATATCCACCCTTTATTGTTTGGAGCCAGTCAGCTGGGTGCGAGTCACAGTGCTATTCTGTCAGTGCAACACAAATTCATTAAGACAACCGGAAGAATACGTTCCTAGTGATGATGATGATCCTGATGATGATGATGATGAGCCTTTTGCTTTGCTGGCACTCGCCCACAAAGAGGAATCGGCCAAGAAACAAGGATCGGCCAAGAAAGAGGGTTCGGCCAATGAACCTTTCT